AGCAGCAGCAGCAGGAGCAGCTACCAAGCAGCAGCAGCATCAACAGCAGCTGCCAAGCAGCAGCTACCAAGCAGCACCACCATCTACCAAGCAGCAGCAGCAGCAGGGAAAGAGTGAGCTTTCCTTAGAATCTGTCGTGCCCCAACATTTGGTCTCGAACAATAGCACATATAGGTGCTGCCTGAGTACTTGTAGAAGGGCGACGTGGAAAGACAGATATATCTGATATATATATGTGTTTTTCGCGAATAAATGCTGACGATGCAGCCAGCAGCGGTGTGCATGATTGACATCTAGGGGTTGTATGCGAACATGTGTCAGCTGCTCCCTGTCGCTCGAACATGGAACGCGGACTACCACGAGTGAAGCAAACAGCCCGTTCAAAAATCTTACTGGGTTCTGTCATTCATGTGTGAAGTAAGTATCATCTTTTGATCTGGATGGATAGCGGATAGTGCATTCTGATTTGTACTCTTGTGTGGGGTGGGTACATGCCTGTACAAGCTTCTTAAGGATATAATGAAATTAGCATCGTTTCACGACTCAGAGGGAATGCAACTACTCTCGATTCTAACGAATAGGCTTTCTTCAGCACCAACAGCAGCCAACAACCCCAAACAGCAACAGCAGCAAAACGGAGCAGACAGCCATGCAAGCAGCAAGCAGCAGCAACCAGCAAGCAGCCAAGAGCATCCAGCAGCACCAAGCATGCAAGCAGCAAGCAGCCAAGAGCCAGGTGCAGATGAGATGCCAGCAGCAGCAGCAGCAGCAGCGACCAAGCAGCAGCAGCAGGTACCGAGGAGGAGAAGGGTGGAGTTGAACCCCGCGAGGGGGGGGGTCTAGTCCTGATATATCAGGTAATAGCACTCAGGTCCTCAGCTCCCACCCTCCTTGCTAAAGCAAGACAGACTCCAGCTAGCTTTCGTGATAAAGGGAAGTCTGTCTCAGAGACTTTTTGAGAAACAATTGCGTGGTAATTGTTTTGTGAATGCTTTCCTGTTCAGCACACGTTCACCCAGTAAGTGTGTTTCAACAAAGGAAATCAGTCGCCGTCGCAAAGGTCGCGAGCTGCTCGTCTCTTCGCGAAACACCCAGTGTCGCAACCCGTCGTCACTTCCTTGAAACTCCATTCATCCCCCACCAGGTCCGCCCAAGAGTCCCAATGCCGCAGTTGGGTTTGTACATGCCATACTTGGTGCCATAGACCGGGTGGTCGTAGTCGGGGTTGCCTAGACCGACAGCGACAGTCGACGGCTCATGACGAGGACTTGCTCCAGATGGGGATTTATCCATAGGGGAAATAAGCATCACCTGAAGCAAAACCAGGTGATTTGAACATCCAACAGCTTCCTGATGTGCTACCCAGTCGGCCTTCCATGTGACCCTCCATGTCGGCAGGCTCAGGTCAGTGACGAAAAAAGGTTTCAAGGGCCCAGAAACCTACGGAAGGAACCGGTTGAACCGGTAGAACTTCTGTATACACTTCCTGGAATCATCCTGGGAGTGGACGGCATGGCCCCTTTGAATTACCATTTTCCGGAATACCAATAGGTGGTTTCCACTTCCATCGATTGTTTTAGGGAGACTTAGTTTGTTTTTGTTTGTGGATTCCTGGAATTCCAAGAAGGTACAAATGATATTACTCGATGTTACCTTGAGTCTCCAAAGACCTTTTTTTTATGCGTTTTTGTTTTTGGTCTAATATTTTTGCGTTTTTGCTCGAAAAACGTGTTTTTAGAGATGAGGACTCAAAAAAAGGTGCAGAGTGAATCTTCATCCGGACGCGTCCGGCACGGACGCTTAAAGACGCCTTTTGGACGCAAAAAGACGCGTTTTGGACGCCGAAAAAAGGTCTCAGGACACTGTCTAAGGAGGATCTGACAGGGCACAAACAAAAAAGGAACATTTCGTGACATATGCAAAAAAGAGTGCTTTCTTTCAAAAACCTCTTTTTCTTGGAAAGGCAAATTTAAAAGGGTCATTGGAGACTCAAGGTACTTCTTGCCCGTATGACCCCATAGGCCCATAGTGCTTTCGATCATCTTGGATCCATATCCTTTTGCCTGAGCCGTTCATGTCTTCTGCCCATTCACGTACCCTAGCTTGCGCCACAGAACTGTGGGCTTTGCGGATCATCCAAAAACCGCTTCCAGGTGATTCTGCTGTTTCTTCAGGGAGTCTGTCGGCCTTTCTTTGTCGAGTTGGCATGAGTCACACCTGTCAAGTTGGAGCGCGCTTTCCTTGAACTTTGGTTGACCAGTCGCCTTCCTGTGCGCAAAATTGACCCTTGGCTGATGTTACAAGTGGCCTCAAAGGCCTGGAGGTTATTGGGCTGTATCCCCGAGTTCCACAGCTGAAAGCATCGTCAAATCTCGTGGCATCTGCAAACTATAGCACTGATCAACAACTACTGTACCCTGCACATCCATCCACAGGGTTTTTGCGGTCGCCCCGTTGGGTCTTATGTTTTGGAGCAGTTCTTCGAAAACCTACACCATTGAACTCACTGATTTTATCTTCACGCATGCTTGCTAGCTGCTAGCTGCTTGCTATAGACTTCTTGTTACCTTCTTACATATAAAATCACTATTATATTCCCCAAAGAAAAATAAAACAACAGCACCCCGTTCCAACCTGGGACGACTTCGACCCCTGCCTTTGAAGGACTCGGGGAAGACGACGGCATCCTCTGCAGGTGCGCAGCCCACCTGAGCCGTTTGGCCCCACGGGACGACACGGCCGAGCCGAAAGCCAGCTGGAGCTGTCTCCGAGTCGGAGTTGAGATGGATGGCGCAGGCAGTTGGGCGGCGTTCGGCGAAACCGGCCGTTGGCCCAAAATAGGGACGTTCCTGTCGGTTTGAAAGTTCTAGTAAGGTTCAATCCACAGAACCCTTTCGTAAGGAACCTTTCGTAAGGTTCTAGTAAGGTTCATCCCAAGAAAAGGTTGAACAAGAAATGACCTGAACCAAAGGAATCACAGGAAACAACCCATGGTGGTTCATAAAGACATCTCCGAAACCACCTGGCACTGGGGATCTGTTTGCCTGAACCAGAAATCCAACCATCCATGGGAGAAGAGTTACTTCACTCGCCACCATGCATGGATCACTTTGAACATGGGGTCACTAATTATGTAACGATTCCAGTGCGATGGTCGGGGACACTTAGATTTGTTGCACCAGTTTCGGACACCTGCAAAAAAGAACTAAAACACACGCATATTCTCCAAAGGATTTCACATGATTCAACCAGTTCGGGAAAATGTTCATAAATCTTAAATCAGCCAAACCAGGCATAGATGGGGAAATGTGCTCGAGCAGCACATGGGCTCGGACGGGGCATCACAAACTTCCAAGATCTGACCGGTTGACAGGAGTTGTTCGCTGTGGAAGAGACCCACGTGGGTTGCTGAGAACAACTGGTGAATGCAGAAGAAGCTGGTTCGCTTCCTTGACAGGTGCTTTTGCAGGTTCCACCTCAATCATCCCGGGTTTAACCTGGGAGGACTGATCCAGCCTATCAATGCTTGGCAGTTGAGGCGTCATCTGACACTGCGGGTCGTTGGATTCGCGAATGGAAAATCCAACACAAATTGCATAGAAAGAGGACAGTTCACTGATCCATCAAACATCACCAGCTTGACCAGTCAAGTTCCGATTTTTGGTTTGGAACGTTTTGATTCTTAGTTCATGCCAAGCCTGTTTGATGTGCTCAAATGCTGTTCAACTGCTTTCATCGGTCTGGCCGCAAAACATGTTGATACAAATTCGACTGTCCAGGACGAAATCTTGGTAAGTCATGGTGTTTCACCATCGATCCCAGCCGCCCCGACCCAACGGCCCCACCGACTCCTCTCCCCGCCGCATCCGCCGCCTCCTCCGCCTCCCGACTCTTCTCCAGGAGACGGGAAAGGTGTCTCCCACGACGGCCCACTGCTCGAGGAGGTCCTCGCCGGCGATCTTTTTCAAGGCCATGACTTTGCCCATGTCATGCAACAAGCCCACCTGGCAAGGCGAAGTCAGCAAGGCAGAACAAATCCCCCCACTTAGCATGTAGGCAGTGACTCAAAATAGTGATGTGCTGCATCTCCAGTTCAACTTGACACCACAAGCTGATCGCACCATGAAACAAAGCCCAGACGCTCCATGGGACTGCCATATATGCCTACATTGGGGTGGTTTGGGTGGTCAATGTAGGCATATATGGCATACATGAAGTGTATGGGAAGTGGCTCTTAAGATTGAATATTTAAACGGGAGCAGACAGTCGACAATGTATGAAGCCAGCACAAATAAATGACAAAAAACAAGGTTGGTTCAATTCCAGGAAATATGACATACATTAATGTATGAGTATACAAAAACACAACTTGCTTGTTCACACTTGTGGCTTTCATTTTGACGCACGATATGAAGTGTACCGAAAGATTAATACATATTTATATAATATATACTAGGACCCACAAGGGGTGGTCAATGGACACCCCTTTACCTCAAAGGGGCTATCAATAGACACCCCCAAACGGGTGTCCTGGTACAGCCAAAGCGAACCCCCGGCCCCGAAACCACCCGAACGGTCGCCGTCCGATGCCAACTGAGCAGCCAAATGGAACCAGTCATACTCCTGGCGCAGTGGAAAGACTCGAGAAGCGGAGAACGACACGAGGTGCTGACTGACCTAAAAATACATTGAAACAAGATGAAACAGGTTGGTTAGAGGGGTTGGTTAGAGGGGTTCCCTCTCTCAAGGCTTACACAGAAATTCAATCACATGACTTGTGCATGGCCGCGGCGCTGTAACAGAGACCACAACTGGATGCACAAAAATTAGCACCAGAAAAATGCTTTAAAAAACCTTTAGATCCAATTGGATGGCACTCTCACCACAGGAACTCCTTTTTTCACTCTCATCTATGGGCCCTCCTGCCCGGTGAAGCCATGGGAAGTCACAAAACCCTTCCATCAAGCAACACATCAGTAGGTTGTGAAAAAAGATATACCTCAAGTAGCATTAAATAGGTCAAGTGGTGTTAGTCTATAGTAGTAGTTGTTTCGGTCCTGTGGGAATTGGGACGTGCTTTGTCTTTAAATGCTTTCGTGGGGCTGGGTTGTGTGGGCAATACGACGGTTTTTCTTTTAAAATGATTTCGTGGGGCGGCCCGGGCAACCGGGTGCTGCTATTCCCTGTAAATGCTTTCGTGGCGCCGGGTCCTGTGGGAATTGGGGCGCATCCGGGGCGGCGCTATTCCCTGCAAATGCTTTCGTGGGGCCGGGTCCTGTGGGGACGGGGGCGCCGCTTTGCCTTTAAATGCTTTCGTGGGGCTGGGTCCTGTGGGCAAGCCGACTGCTTTTCCTTTTCAAATGCTTTTGTGGGGCTGGCCATTGGAAACGGGGACGCTGCTTTTCCTGCGAGCGCTTTCGTGAGCCGGGTCCTGTGGGAATTGGGACGCCGGTTTGCCTTTAAATGCTTTCGTGGGGCTGGTCCTGTGGGCTCATTTTTTCCTTTTAAATGTTTTCGTGGGGGCCCTGTGAGAATTGGGGCTGGGTTCTTCCTTCAAATGCTTTCGTGAGGCTGGGTCCTCTGGAATTGGGCGGGCCGCTTTTCCTTTAACTGCTTTCATGGGGCTGGACCCTGCGAGCCGGCGCGCGGAACCGGGGCTCGGCCTTCCCTGTAACGGCTTTCGTGGGGCTGGGCCCTGGGGACCGGGGCGCCGAACCGCGGGGCACGGCTCTGGCGGCTGGGTCCTGGCAACGCTTGCGTTTCTAGCCTTTCCCTTGTGTTTTTCCTTGTGCTGGTGCTATTTTTTGTGCTCCCAGTTGTGCTTTTTCTGGTGCTAAATTTCGTCAAATCTGGTGCTAAATTTCGTCAAAGCTGGTGCTAAATTTCGTGAAATCTGGTGCTAAATTTCGTCAAATCTGGTGCTAAATTTCGTCAAACCTGGTGCTAAATTTTGTGCATCCGGTTGTGCTTTTTCTGGTGGTAAATTTCGTCAAATCTGGTGCTAAATTTTGTCAAATCTGGTGCTATTTTTTGTGCTTCCAGTTGTGCTTTTTCTGGTGCTAAATTTCGTCAAATCTGGTGTTTAATTTCGTCAAATCTGGTACTAAATTTCGTCAAATCTGGTGCTGTTTTTGGTGTTTCCAGTTGTGCTTTTTCTGGTGCTAAATTTCATCAAATCTGGTGCTAAATTTCGTCAAAGCTGGTGCTAAATTTTGTGCATCCAGTTGTGCTTTTTCTGGTGATAAATTTCGTCAAATCTGGTGCTAAATTTTGTCAAATCTGGTGCTTTTTTGTGCTTCCAGTTGTGCTTTTTCTGGTGCTAAATTTCGTCAAATCTGGTGCTAAATTTCGCGCGTCCAGAATGAACCTGCGAGCCAAAAGCAGATCGCTCGGAGCACTTGGCCTCAGCAGCGTTTGACTTTGTCGTGGCCGCCTGTGCAGTTTCTGGCGCTTTCCTGGTGCTTTTTCCGGTGCTAAATTTCGTCAAATCTGGTGCTCTTTTTTGTGTTTCCAATTGTGCTTTTTCTGGTACTAAATTTCGTCAAATCTGGTGCCTGTTTTTGCGCTTCCAATTGTGCTTTTTCTGGTGCTAAATGTCGTCAAATCTGGTGGCCCATTTCGTCGGCCAAGCAGCTGTTAGGGTTTAGGGCTTAGGGTTTATAGGGTTTTGTGAAGATTTGGTTTCGTCTTGGCCTCTGTCTAACCTGCAAGCAACAGGAGGTTGGAATCGTGACCTCCACTTCTGTTCCGCGGCCGGTCTTTTCGAACCGTTGCTTCTAGTGATTGGTGTGCTAGATTGTCACATGAAAATATTTCACTTATATAGATATGTCAAATCCAGCAATGAACATGTAGACTGCTGGTGTTGGTCTGGTGCTGCGGCTGGCTGCGGCTGGCTGGGGCTGGCTGGGGCTGGGGCTGGGTGCTGGGTTGTTGGCGCTGGTGCTGGTGGTGCTGGTGGTGGTGCTGGTGGCGCTGCTGCTGCTGCTGGTGGCGGCTGCTGGGGCTGGTGGTGGTGGCCGCTGCTGGGGCTGCTGTTTGGTGCTGGGGGTGCTGGTGGTGGTGGTGGTGGTGGTGGTGATGGCTGCTGTGGTGCTGGTGCTGGTGTGGTAACAGAGGAGAGGAGAGGAGGAGAGGAGGAGAGGAGAGGAGAGGAGAGGAAAGGAGAAGAGAGTGGAGGGGAAGAAGGGGAAGAAAGGGCAGGAGGGGCAGGAGAGGAGTGGAGGGGTTAGCATATTCAAAATCCATTTGGAGAGGCCCCAGGTAATGATGAATTATCTAGGATTTCCTGGTGCTAATCTTCGCTGGTTGTCTTAATAAAGAAACCTTTTTGCAGAGATACAGGGGGGTGGCCGGACTCAACACATGACGCCCAAATCCCGAAAATGACTATAAATGAATAAGCACGCACCTACTACGCACCTCTATCTAAAAACACCCACACACACACACACACCACTATATAACAGTCGACACAAAACACACCACGATCATCACTTCAGGCCACTGTGTCCCCCTCTGTGTAACCACCATCGCTCACCGCCACGCTCATCCCGTCTCCTCTCCAGGCCACTGCTCTCGGATCCGCTCAGCGGTCTGGAAGTCGTGGATGCTGTTGGGGATGTCCACCTGATCGACGCATCGACGGAGAGGCGCGGAGTGGGTCGCGCGAGGACCGGAGGAGGTCCCCAAGCCTCGAACCGACCCGGGTTTTGAAGTGGAAGAAGCAGGTGGAAGATTGATCAAGATCCCAGCGAATCAAACCGAATCAAAAAAATACAAGTTCCAAAGAACCTTTGAGAATTGAATGAATCATCTAACTACCTATGGAACAAGCATGTTAACATATAACAAGTGTGTTTGATCATAGATTGATAGCTTGGGTCTAACTTCGCCGGTTTGCTTAACAACCCGTATTCTACATTCAAGGTCAGTTAGCATAAGAATGCTGAAGTGACCCGAAGTTCTTCACACTACTTCCAGAAGAACTCCTTTCTGCGGATCCTTTTGATGTTTCGGTGTCTTTCGAAGTGTTCGATATGTCCGTCTACAACTCCCTTCACCCACTTCTTGAGGCCTTGGAGAACCGGAGTGTCAGCCTGCAGAATCGAACCCTTCCTGCTTTTCTCTTCTCCCAGTCACATCGGGATCACTGTCGTCCACCAGTTCGTCCAACATCTCGATCGCCTGTGCTGAAGAAGCTGAAGAGCAGGGACTATCTATAGTGGAAAAGCCAGCACCGACACCTTCTGAGGTGTCTAGGAAGATAGCCTCGTTTTAAGAGGTGATGACCGGGGTCTCCCAAAACCACCAGGCCTGGAAGGTCCTGGTGTATATATATATATATATATGTATCATGGAAGTGGAACATGATCCCTTCGATGACCACTAACTACCAACAGGTGGTGAAGACTTCCACTTCCGATTCCAGGGAGTGTACCCCAATTGCTCGGGATTCCTGCGGAATTTGTTGGGGTTAGTTGGAAAATATACGACTATAGGATTCATACTGATAAAATGGCATTCGTGTGGCCTTCTTCGGACGTAGAAAGGGAAATAGAACGACCTTCTAAAGACTGAAGCACATGGTTTGGGTCTATCCCATTATATAATTACCAGTAACAATGGATGATGATGGTTTGTAAAGGCCTTTCTCGAAATTACATATAAAGTGATAACTGTTTAAAGGCTCCTCCAGGTAACACGACAGACCCAGCACATGGTCCACATGGTGCTGCTGCTTCTTCCCTGTGAACAGTTCCGGATCGACCAAGATCACTTGGACCATGTGAAGCAGGTAGTTGACCCTCCCCAGACCATCCATGGGACTGGAATAGCTGCCGTATACTATATTACATGGATGGGTCCAATCTTCATGGAAACTCTGTGCAAACTCCTTCTGTCGTCCCATTCGGTCTAGACTGAGTCGAAACAAACACCGAAGCAGACACCGGAGTCCCCGGACCCCGGTTGACCGGTCTGTTCTGAACACCGTTCGGGAGGTCTGTCCCCGTGGCGCCATGGTTGGAAGCCATTACTAGTAGCTTCTTGTTACTACTAGTAAGGCACTTGTTACTAGTAGCGATGCACTTGTTACTAGTAGCTTCTTGTTGTCCTGTTTCTGATGTAGAAGGCCAATGTGGTTTAAGATGCATCCCAACCCGGCCCCTCCAGCCGGAAGTGCCATGCTTCCAACGCGCGGCTTGCTTTTGCAAAGAAGTGGTGTGACATGTCCCAACATCTGAGATGATCTGCAAAATGGTGGCGGCATACTGACCCTGGTAATCAATCACCCTGTGTTTTCAGATATATACCTCCTTGGTTTTGCCAACCCATGTGTGTGTGTCAAAGTCAACCACCCCAGTCAACCATAGGTTCTGTGGCCATCAACACCATCCTCAGTCAGCTGTCAACACCGTCCTTGAAAGTGACTCGGGCAGCGGGCTACGCATGACCCACAGCTACAGTGGTTTCTATTCCGTTCATCGCTCGGGCGGCCCGGTCGGTGTCCCGGTGACCCACAGCGGACGGAGAGTCGCCCACATCCGCCTCCATGATGGTGAACTCCCCATGGTTGAACTTCATCCACTTCTCCTGCATGCCTGACTCGAGTCAAACCCAGACACCACGAGGCCGGAGATCGAGATCGGACCTCGAAATCGGTGACCTCGCCGGACGTTTCGGGGGGGGGAAATCGACGACTCCACGGTGACGGGTTTCGTGTGACCCACGGACGACCTGCACCTTCAGCGTGGGAAGATTGGAAAGTCTGGATCTACCAGTCATGGAGGATCAAAGCGGCCGGACACCTTCGAAAGGGTCCGGATCCTTACACCATTCAAAAAAAGAGCTCGTTCAAGTCAAGGAACAGAATCGAAGCCCCATGGATGTGGCTCCAAAGACATTTAAACATAATACGAGCCCAAGGACCCAAAGGCCTCTTTTGGCTTCGGTCTAATAATGGCTTTTTGCTGTGGGTTTATATACCACATTAGAATTTCATTTATATAAGTCTTTGGGGGTTTGATTGTCAATCAGAACAATATGAGACCCAAACTGCTGTTTCGAGGGCGAAGTACTAAGGCATCAAAGAATCAATTTCAGCACGGGGGGGCTATAGTGAGTTAGATCTCTGACACGGCGCCAGGATGACAAAACCACCAGAAATCGCCATGTCAAACATCCCCAGGATGAACAACAAAGCATACCTATTGAAGCCAGGGTCGCATGCACGCGCTCCAGGGTCGGCCAGGGTCTACTTGGGGGCCTCCCCATGAGCCTCACAGGGCCTCTCTACAAGCATCCATGCCTGAAGAGTCTGAGGAGTGTGTGGGTGTTGAACAAACATCCTGATTCAACACGAGATCTGCCCTTAGAGCAAAGGTCACTCCATCAACGGAACTCCAAACCCTACGTACGTCCAGTCCGACCCAGTAAAACCTGATCTTTTTCCATATAAGTATAAACTGGTTTTGTATCGTCTTCGAAATTAGCATGGTGGACCTAGGATACCCCATTTTGTACTATAAAACGGTTTTGGGTTTACAAAATGCAAGGCGCATCGTTTATTCAAGTATCGAGCTACTACAAAATGACTGGTTTGCACCACTCTCGAATGCTGATTTCTTACAAAATGATGGTTCCCAGTGGCAAAATTTGGGAGGTATGAGACATGGTACTTCTTACAAATGATTGTTCCCAGAGACATATCTGTGCGCTTGTAGATAAACTTTTTTACACATAGACATGGCATAGGCATTTTATACCGTTTCAAGAATTAATGCTACAAAATAATGTGCTGATATGTGACGTGCGCGTGCTACACATTCCTTTCTTACAACCTGAAAGTGCTCCTAGGCATGGCTTTTTGTAGCATCTTTATGTCTCTTACAAAATGCAAATCCTGATTGCTCTCGGAAGTAGCCGAATCCTTACAAAATGCAAATCCTGACAAAGTTGTCTCTTACAAAATGGCATGGCCTGCCACCCAGTAAGATCACCAAATGTACCGCTACAAATGGCTCAAAAAATACTTCTTACAACATGGCTACTTAAAATGGATCCTAGGACACCCCATTTCGCAAGGGAAACGTCAAAGATGATGGTTTGTATTGCCATCTCCAGTAAAATGAGGTCCAACTGACTTGAAGGGAAAGGTCACTCCATCAACTCAAGAGATCTGTCGGCACGTGTTTACACATGGGGCTGGCTCGCGAATGACCTGAAGCCCGACCAGACCAGTTAGGTCAACCGGTCGGTATCGACAGCACAGCCTCATTGGTGTGCCTTAAAATTGGGGGACATCCCAGGCAACGACCTCCTGGAAGAAGGGAAATAGACCAGTCTACAGTCTACCTGGTCTACAGTCGGGCCCCTTGCCTACTAATTGACACACCCGTGCTGTTGGTCACTTTGAAGAGGCCGTGCCAACAGCCGGTCACCATGGTGGTTCGTGCTGTCACCTGCCTGCGCCGAACTCGCCGAGGCACTCTTCACGAACTCCACCGTTTGTTTCTGGTGCATCTCCCCGTAGGTCTTTTCCACCACACTCTGCCGCGTGGAGCTCTCATAGTTACGGTACTCCCCGCCAAACCTGGGGAGACAGGTTTCAACCAAATGGTGGACAGGATTGGTGCATATGGGTTCACTCAATAGCATGGGTCACTGGAAATATATTCACCCTGAATGACCGAAGAAGGCATGGAAGGGGTGTTCCTGGGTGTTCTTTTTGATTGGATCTTTCAAAGGTTGAGGACATGTTGAAGAGCAACTCAATAAACACAGCTCTAAGTGGCTCCATGTTGTTTTCCAGACATCTGAAAGACATCTGCAGGAAAGCTGTTGACATCTGAAAAAAAAGAAAAAACAAAAACACCTCATGAGATCTATTTTAGACATCAGTTTGCTCACTACACCAACAAACTCATGACTAGAGCTGGTTGCTTCTGGTGTCTTGACTGGAAGAACATCAGACTATTTTGTTAAAACGTTGAACAACCAAGAAAACGCAAGACAAAACGAAGATCCATCTTGAGATGTCTGCCAAATCCTGAATTCGAAGAACGACACGCCTGTTACATGGTACTCCATGGAAGCAAAGCTCCCATCTGCTTAAAATAAATATACGTGGCCCAATCATCTGCAAGTGACCCAACACGTGTGTTTCACTGACCCAACTCTTCCATCAAAAAACATCGACAGCCTTTCCCGTTGGATGTCGCATGTTTGCTGCCCACCAGTGTTGTTTGCCCCAAGTTGGTTGGGGAGTCAGGAGTCAGAATCTTGTTTTATGCGGTTCACAAGGCGTGGCCAAGGCGTAGACCGAATTGTCTAATGATCTAGTGCCATCAAGGTTCAACACCCTTCCTGTTAGGTGCAATGTGTCCTAAACTCAGGCCCCACAACAACGGGTCACGTGGTTCGCACAGTTCAGCTGAAGCATTCAGTAGTCGGACTATGCTCCCTAGTTGGGCTCACTATTAACTGGACTTCTCTGGGCTCACTATTAACTGGACTTCCCTAGCTCTCAAAAAGTGGTTTACCTGCAGTGTCTATTATCAGCCATGTCTGGTCCAAAGTGTTGGCTAACCACCTCGCTCACAGGCAGCTGATATTGAATTGTCTGGCCCGACAATGAGTGCGTTTTAAAATAGAAAACAACACCATCGCCATCCATCGCACATATAGACATGATCAACACCAAACCCATTAGGTAAGAGGGTGGAAACCACATTCCACACATGAATCCTTTTGTGAAAGCCACATGTTCTTCTCCGCGAAAGGCTGGTAGCCGGCAAACTCAGCGTTGAGACCCATGACCGCGAACGAGGCCAGCGGGTCAAACGACGGGCGGTGGAGGTGCGCGAAGATCTTGAGCCACTGTGCACATCCAGCGGAAACCCATGAATCATTGCAGGTGGATGCTTTCTGTTTCATGTTGTTTTCCATCCCGAAACCCATCCCAGACCTGACGAAAGGGACTGGAATAGTGACAAACGTTCAAAGATTTATAAGCCTAAGGTAGGTAACTATTGCCAGTCCTATGGATATTCTGGGCCTGATGGTCTGGGCATGTTGGTCTTCAACTGGTCTTCAACTCTTTTCCCCGAACAGGTTCACTGGGGTCGTCCCCCGGTTCCACTTTTCGTGGGATGGTCACACAGACCGCTGGAGACACCGTCAAAGGCTGGAACAGACCGCTTTGGGCTGGGCTCATGAAGTGTGACGAGGCTCACTTGGCATAGTGGAAGTGAACTGGTGATTTCATCTGTCAACATTTGGCTATTGAATGATGTTCAGCGTTACTCGTCTACCCCTCTGTACACGATAATTTGCTGGTCCAAAAAGATCCGATCCTTTTTGCGGATTTCATGGTCTGCCATGTTTCATCGGGACATGCTACTGTGCTCGGTTCTTTCCCTTCAAACATCCGGCTGAAACACATCACGCACTCGCCACTCGGGAGCCGTGATCAGCCCTCAAAACCGAAAGGACAAGTGCACAAGTTCCTTCTTCTTCCAAAGTGGAATATGGATATCCCGGTAGCTCCTTATCTCCATCCAAACCACCAGCTAGCAGTTCAAATACCGGCGATTTACGCCAGCTGCTACGATGGTTCAGAATTGGTGTCAAATCGATATTCATCTTCTCACGCGATTGCATGACCTTCACAAACCCAGCTTTGGCATCAACACACTGCTATCCTGGCGTTTCTCCTCTGCCAAAAGGTGTTTGTTGCGTGTGGTCGCCCAGTGGGCCTCACTCCCGTGCATAGGAAAACACAAAAAACCTTGAACTATATAGCACCACACATCGAAACCAGGCCCTCTCCCTAACGTCACGACAACTCTCGTTCGGGTTAGCAACGTTCTCCTATCCATGCTGCCGGAGAGGTAGACGTTGGGCTGCATGGGCACAGCACGCAGCGACATGATCTTCAGCCCATGGATGCCGGGCTTCTCTCCTCACAGCACCGAGCGACCCAAGGAGGATCCGCTGGGAGTCACTGGGAGTGGCACTCGAAAAAGGAAGATCTGCTAGCTTAGCTGCTACATGGAGGGAGATGTTCTAAAGATGTCTAAAAAACCACGGATTGCAAACGCAATATAGGCCACAGATTGCAGAATTTGTGAGGTCAGTTGCTTTGAGAAAAACATGAAATTGCTGGTGAGCTGGGCACTGGAGTGACGTCGCCGCAGTGTGGGACCTCGAGGGATGGATTTTCGAGGTGTTTCTTTATCCAACACATACTAGGACCCACGGTCGGGGTGGTTAATGGACACCCCGAATCACCTCTAAGGGGCTATCAATAGACACCCCTGGCCCGGGTGTCCTGGTACATGGTGATGAAGTACCCAAAAAACATTCTGCATGGAACTGGCATGGAGCTGGCATGATAGTCCTTCCATCTAAAACCTCTGCGCGCTTCACCAAGCACGTGATGTACGGGTGGAACCTCTTCGCGGATGGTCGGGCAGTGATGGTCGGGCCCTTCCAAGCTGAACGGTGGAGGGCGAACGAAACCACCAGCACCGCGAAAGGGTGGCAGCTTAGACGTCCCTGAGAATCTGGGCCCGGATTTGAGGGTCCTACTTGAGAGAGGAGGGTGGTGAACGAAAGGTAGCAGGGAATCAGGCGTAATCCGGGAGGAGGTGAGAGGCCCCCCACTTGTTTGAAGAGAAGTGAGTGAGCGTGATGAAAGAAAAGCTAATGCACAAGCGCTTGACAAAACCTCCAGAAGCTGTAGCGGTCTAGCGGTTTCAATACAGGTTGACGTGCCTTCAAAAGGAGTCACATATTTCTCAAATGCAACTTCGGATTTACATAGTGACGTGCGGCGACCCTGTAAATTGCGTGGCCGCAGGCCATGCTTGCAAACAGGACGTGCTCAAAAACACTGGTATTTACGAGGTTTCGTTGCCGTCGATCCACAGCCGCGGCAAGGTCTAAGGCCACGCTTGAAGACAGGAGGAGCTGAAAACACTGGTATTTACGGTATTTTGTAGCCGTCGATCCAAAGGCGCACCACGGTTGAGCGCTGGAAAAGCGCAGAAAACCGTGTAAATACCGGCGTTTTCTGCCGGGAAGGTGCACAAAACCCTGTAAATACCATAGTTTTGTGCAACTTTGAAGCCTCCAAAAGCCTCAAAAACCCTTTCTGACAAAATTTTTCCTGGTTTTTGGTCTTTTTTCGGTCATTTTTCTAACCGAGACGCATCAAAAACAATCGGTTTTTGCGGTGTTTTTTGCCGGACAGCCACAAAAAACGCTGTAAATTCCATGATTTTTGGTCACTGCTGAGGACTGGAAGAGCTGAAAACACTGATATTTACAGTGTTTTCGAACGGTTGACCCCGAGGCGCGCTAGGGTGGAGTTGAAAGGGGGGGGGGGCCCCCCCCCCCCGGCCAGCAAACGAAGATGTCGGGGACCATTTCTCCGAGAGATAGGCTGCAGCTCTGGGTTAATACATTTTTGCTAAAGCAAAAGGAAAACTCAGGTAGCGTAACCGCTACCTTTCGTGAACTGCCATGGAGAGCCCGGACTCGGATTCTTCGGGCGCTCGAGCCAATAGCCACCCTTTCTGCGGTTTTTGGGCATCAATTGTGTTCAAATCCTTACGGTTACGTGGGCACGCGTGACAAGCACGGCTTCCCCCCCCAGTCCGCCGCCAGTCCACACCGTCCCTCCTCGCGTGGCGGCAGCGTTGCCAAAGACCAACTCGGGTGTCATCTCTTTTCCCTTGTTGGCTTTCAACCTGGGCACTCGGTTGGGGCTGCAATGTTAATATGCAGATTCTTTGTTCATTGTTTTGGAATCGATGTTTTTTTTGGGGGGTTTGCTAGGTTGCTCCCATTGTTTTGGAATATATAACGTATTTCCACATTAAAATAACATTTAATAATGTGTGTTTTTGGTGTTGCTAAGTTGCTCCTTATGGGGCTCTAGGAAGCTTCCCAGGCAGCATTTGTCCCCTTTCTCCCGCCCCTGGCCGTTCATCGAGTGTCGTATTTGGGGGTTCAGAGTTCAGAGTTCATAAACTGCCTGGGTCGAGCTTTTGTTCGGCTGTGGTTCGACTTTCCCCCGTTGACTTGCCTTGAACAAGGGCGCTGGGGTGAGGGCGCGGCACCATCAGTGCCAGGCCACCGACCAATAGCCACAACCAAACACCAGCCCAAACACCACGGAAGCCTCCGAAGTCAAAAGTGACAGAGGCCAGCCCAAAGCCCAAAGAAGCCATAAGAAGCCACACAAGCCGCTTGAGCCACAAAGGCCAAGAGCTCTATATAAGAAGACAAGAAAGCCACAGAAGCCAGAGAAGCAACAGCTTCGCAACAGGTAGACTGTACGGTAGACTAGTAGAACCAACACATCATCCCTCAAAAGAACACATGCAACAAGAATGGTCCCCTCTTGATGGCTCCTATGGTCCAACCTCTGCTGTTACATGACGATGTGAAGGGTGGACATGACATCGCTTAATGCTCGAAAGGTGAGACGGAGGAACACAAGCGGCTAGACATGG